ACTACATTATCGCCTGGTGCTATCAGAGCATTACAATGAAAGCCTTTTTTCCTGACAGTATAGCAACAACTCTAGCTGTGGTTGCAAATAATTGACACTAAAAGAAATAATTCTTGTGTTTTCCAATGCAGCCTTAATCATAGTCACAGTGGAGCATAGGCTGCAATGTGTGTTTGCATAAGTTAATTAGGACCCCCTGTCAGGTCAAGATTTAGGCAATGAAATACATAAAGACAGATATAGCTATACATGCATACTGAAGATTCTAGACTGCATACAATGCCTCATGCATATTTCACTTTAGTTTTTTGGAGATGATAATAGACTCTGAACCTGAGGAAAATGTAGACTTGCTTCATTTAGTTTGCATTACATATTGGTACAACTTTCTGAATAACAACTTCTGGTTTATTGCATATAGTGAAGTTTTTCGGTGTAACTTCTTTCACCGTTATCAAACCGGATTATACAAAATGGACATAATCTTTCACATCATGCAACATAGAAATACGTAACTTTCTTCCTTGTGATATCATGAAACCATTACCTGAACATCAAAACTGTGTCAGACTTAGTATGTATGCTGGAATATTCACAACTGATAAATAACTTTCAAACCCTGCATTGATCTTAATTGATTCATAAAAATCCAAACTAGTATATCCACATAGAGACTGTTGGTACAACTGATTGTCCATATCTATACATCTTGATTTGAATTCTGATAAAAAACATCTCATTATATTAGAGGCACTGACTATTCCAAATATCACAAAAACAATCAAATTTGAACTTTGAGCCGAGCAATCAAAACCTTTCTCAGCAAGACCATACTGATATAAATAAACATGTTCTAAATTATCATTTTGAGACAACAGTCGCAACCAATATTTAGGCTTAAAAAAAACAAAGCCTTGGTTCTAAGGCCCCGATGCCTCATTGTCAAGTCTGCTGCACCTTTTGTTATATTTCCATTTTTAAAAAAGGCTGCAATACTAAGAATAATGCAATCCAATATAGCGTGCAGTTACATCCCTTTAGATGGGCATTGCTTTACTCATTCATCACCACTCGCCCCTTTCCGTAACCTGCAAGAAGACTCGTCCCCCTATCGATGAATGTTATGTGCAAAAATACGACAAACCAATCAGAATGCGCGAATGTTTCAAGTTCTTCGTCAAAGAATCCATCAGAAACAATTGTTGATTTAACATACCGGTATGTCTTACATCTAAAAATATACACAAGACACAGTTAAATGTGGTCAATCATACTGTATAATTCTGCATGTCCCGATGTGCTTTAAATTGCATCTAAAATATATATAATATATGGGGAAATATATGTGAACCATTACGCAACGAGTTGACAATTGTTTTAGGTATGCCCGTTTGCGCTAAGACGGAACCCGGTTTCAAAAATGGCCATAAGAGGGTCACGAGTCGCTATTCAGCTTGTCCCGGAATAACATGAGTTGGTCACGAATGTGCTTTACTGAGCATCTCATGTTATGGTCATGGTGGCAAAGGAGTTTGTGTGCTTGTTTTGCTGTTTGCAAATTTGGTCAATGAAAACATGAAATTTACAATAAAACACATCACTAGACATTATGATCTACAAATTCAATGGTATTTCTGTACCTCCAGTGTTATGTGCTCACAATAGCGTCTTTGTGTTGTGAAATAAAATCAAACCTCATTGTATGCATGTATTATCACACACTAGTAGTCAAATACTGTATTTTACTCGTCAAGGAATACACTTATATAGTGAGGCCCATTCTCAAGTTGATTGTACACAAGTGTTATTTGGTTACATAGTACCATAGTTTGAACAACCCAAAACAAAAAAGACTCTGCCTGACCACGCTATATTTTCAAAAGCCATTGGCTTAGAACAATTTATTATTTTTAACCCTTAATTATGTTCACATTCTGATTTACCTTAAGAGAAAATCTGCCTAATTCACCCCTTGCCACAATATTAGGAACAGACTCCCAAATATTTAAAACAGGCTCAGAGTATTTTTCATGGATATTCAAAATATCTGTTGAAGGATGAATACAAGAGGTTGGTAATACCTTTTCATCAAAGATGTGCAACAAAACCTTTAATGGCAACTTATGAAAATTAAAGATACTTGATTTTAATATGAGCACCACTTTCAATGCCTGCTGTGGTAAAACATTCTGCGTTGTAGGCCATGACCCTGAGCTGGCAAGATGAACACCCAGATACTTGTATGTGGAGACAATATCAACAACCTTTCCATTAACATAAACTTTTCATACTTCCTTAATCGACCAGCCTTTCGAAACACTACCACTTTACTCTTATCTGTATTTACTTGTAACTGCCACTTAGAACAATAATCAACTACTTTAATCTACATCAATACATCTTTGGTTATCAACATTAAGATACTTTTCAATATCATTGAGTGGAATGAAAACAAACATGGGAAAGTTGACAGCCTTGAGGGACGCCAAAAAGACAATGGAATGGTGTATAGCTGTTATCTACCAGCACACAAGAGTTAACATTTTCATACATATTACAAATTAATCAAAACATTTTGCTTTTCACATGACCAAGTCACAACTTATAAAGAAGTGACTTCCTAGAGACAGTATCAATCACAGCTTTCAAGTCAATGAAAGCACAGCACAGTCTTTCAACATGCAAAGATAGATACTTCTTAATAGTGTTGATCACAAACACGTTATCCACAGTCTGAAAGCCTTTTCAAAATCCAGCTTACTCCGGACTAGCAATCCTTTCAAATTCTGCCCACTCGTAAGGCCTATTACAAAGTATTTTAGAAAATAATTTTCCGGAGACCTCAGCAAAGTAATTGGTCTGTATTTTGAGGGATCATTTGTTGGCCCCTTGGTATTATCACACCCAATGTTATTGTTTGACAGCACAAGATTATATAAGTGTGTCAACATTTCTAGACACTGTAGCGGAGCATACTCAAAAACTCAACTGATAGCCCACTATAACCTGGAGCCTTACCTGAGTGCATACTGGAAATAGAGAAATGTCTCTATCGAGCTCACTTTCAATGTCAATAGTACTGGCTTACTGACTGAAGGAAGTCATTCACTGAAATATGAAAATCTTGTTCAGTCACATTTGTATTGGAACCACTGAATAATGGAATAGAATGTTTCATCCATGCAGATACTGTAATGTTACTGGAACTGGAACTCAGCAATGGTTTTGAGCTTATTGTCGACCAAAACAGTTTACCATTTTTAAGTTTATTTACAAACATTGCTGAATGAATTGATGATTTCTGACAACAAAGGTCCTGAGTATGTTTCCGTGCTTCGATGTAGGCCAGTTGACATACTGTCAATCGCACACGACGACATTCACCTCTGTGTTCACTCCTCCTCCCAGTAAAGGATTTTCTAACAATAACAGAACATTCCAATGTACCGGTACTCTGAAAACAGTCAAACTCATCTTCCACATTTCTGCTTTCAATTTTGTATAAAAAGTATCTGTTGTTGAAATTTCTTTTTTATTCCAAGAATAAATATATTCAGTTCACTTATCTTCATTCTAGTAATATGTAGATCGTTCAGTCAGGTTGACACCGCGATTGACAGCTGTCATGATACTGACAAGATGAGAATAGGTGATTGGTAAATGGGTACATTGTACATTGTATAAACCCAAAACATTCAACCATTAATACACCAAGCCCTTCAGCAAAACATTTCAGTTCACCAGTGGCAGAGTCTGCTAGGGTTACTTGTGTCAGCGCAGAATGAGACAAGACAAGGTCAGCTTCAACTCTTATGTTTTCAATATTTTCTGCTACCATCTGAATCAACAAGGCCACATTTTTCCCTTAGAGGCCAATCTCGGATAATATCTGTAGTTGTAGACAATCAGGTTGAATGTCTTTGACGAAATCTCTTTGGTAAACTTCGTACCCACTCATACACAGGAATGGAGGCCTGATATGGATCATCTCTCGACAACAGGAGTTGGGTCAGGGGTGCAAAATAATCTGCACGTCAACAGTCTTGAATTTCTAGCCGTTATACTGGCGATTTCATGTTGGAAAGGCCAGGTTGTTGATCTCCGCAGTGGCTCATAAGATGGGATCGACTCACTCAAATCACCCTTTTGTACAGAACACCATTGTGTTGGCAGATGTTCTGTCAAGAAAATAGCAACCTTATCTTCATCCAAGTCTGAGGATATCCCACTTCCAGTGTTTGTGTCTCTAATTCGAGATCCTCTGACTTGGGACCATGACACCCTATCCATCTCATTGGAAGGTTTTCTTGCTTTCACATATCTACCTCCAGTCCTCCCACCCTCACGCTTGTTGGCCCGGTTAGAGTTGGTTCCCAGAACTAAGAAAGCTTGTGGGAGACCCCATTCTTGAGTTTCCTTGTTGGGAAAAACTAATAAATCCACTCATATGGCTGGCACAAACAGTACCAACATCCTTGGCTCTTCACGGATGTTCATGATGTCAATCACTGGATTGTCTGGTCCTGACTCGATTATTTACAGACCACCGTCATATAGCTGGAATATTGCTGAGTGCGGCGTTAAACAGCAAACAAAATTGTGTGCGTGACCAGAGGTTTCTCTTTGGGAGCAGATAAGGCGGCAGTAAAGGTGCTTCATACTTCTACTAGGGTCCCGGTGCAGGAACAAAGTGAATCCTATGAAGACCTTATGCAGTTCATCGCCGATTATTTGTTGTATTTGTGTAAGACAAAGAAGTTATGTGGAGGTATTGTTGGTATTTTCAAATGTCAACAAAGCAATATTATGAAGTGCAATATTTCCATATTGCTTATACATCATATTATGGCTTGATTTATGAAACTAAGGGAAAGAAACATTGAAATTCTTAGTTCCATGGGTATTACACATTTTCACTTATTTTTTTCCAACTCTTTCAGCCTTTAGGGTTGGTACATACATAATCCAATGAATTATAAGATTGTGGTTTTGCTTTGCAGGTACCTCCAAAGGACAAAGATAATGCTGCCTCAGACTCTGAAAAGTCCGACAAATCTGATAAAAGTGAAGTTTATGAGACTGGGAGAAAATCATCACCTCAACAATATATCAGCCGCAAACGGAAGATGAATGGCGGAATCAGTAGTGGAGAAGACAGTGAGAAGAGTAATGATGCAACAGGTAATATTTGTGGTGACAGTTATCTTGTGTCCTTACAGCTGTTTTTCATTACACCTTATCAAACCCAATGCAAGATACTATACAGGCTACATGTCATCAAATGTTGTCAGAAAGGTGATTGTCTACAAACATAAACACTTCACTATCTGCACATCTTCCATGAACATATTTCTGAGCTTTCCTCGTCCTGTGTTAGAGTTTGAAGGTCATTGTCAATCAGTGTCACTCAGTGTCAACTAGATACTTAAAAAACTTTGTGTACGTAATATATTGACTACTTGCATGGTGGAATTTGATGACATTTCATACATGATCTAGAGATAATCTAGGCCGCGCAATCTACGTAATGTAATTAATGGGGGAATAAATGTACAAGAAAAAGAATTACCTGTAATGTATTTTCACCACTTTTGTGGGACTGCTTAGCATGGAATTATCTTCAAGGATACCAACACACAGCATGTCTACTTCCAGGGTTAGGAAAGGGAAGTAATCCAGCAGCCAGAGAAAGTCGTTAACATCATGATCACATCATTCGTCAAACCTCAGACCGTTTTCCATATTCGAAAACGTTAAGTGTGCGATCGCGTTCAGTGTGTATTTTCTCATCACAAATCACTTTTGAACATTGTGAACTGCATAGTCATTTACACAGCATCATACAAACATGTTTGTGTTCATTTTTACCAAGATGTCACTCGCTATTGCTATGATCTTAACTATGGTCTCAGAGTGGGGCCTGGATCTGATAAGATATGGGTAACCTCTGTGTCACCACTATCAATTATTGACGATTAAATTCAATCATATCATCGCACCAGGGTAACTGATCAATCATTTATCTTATATTTTTTATCAATGGCACATTACTACCATAATGTGTTGCAAAAATAAGAGGAGGTGTATAAATTGAAATCATAACATGAAATGCTCTTTTGATCAAGTCTCTATTAAGGTGGTATATCTATAACTTTCAGATATTGAGATAAAGTTTCCTTTTCGAGAAGATGCGATTACACCCAACTGGAATGGAGCTGAAGAATCCCTGTTCAGAGTTCTTAATGACATGTACAGGAATAACTATTGTGCCATCTCAAAGCTGATAGGAACAAAGTCCTGTAAACAGGTAATATATTTTCTTTTCAACTAACAGGCACTGGTAAATATAGGTTTCCCTTTTGGTCCTGTATTTTAGTCATTCTAGTATGAATGAGAAGCACTTTCCTGACTTGAAAGAGACTTTGTGCTGAGGCACATTTCACATGTGTTAATATTACCAAGACTGTAACTGAACCCTGGGAAGGTTGTCAAGGTCATTGGTTAAAATTGTTTCTGTTTACTGCCAAACTCAAGAGTTACTGAAGGTCAATAAGACTTGGTGCATGCTTGGTTCACAAGTTGGATAGCCCTTTGGAATGACTTTGAAGCACTTGCAACTGACATTGAAGGTCAAATTCTCTTGCAGGGTTATACACTCAAAAATGTATAATGCTCACTATAAGTCAATTTGGTGAATATTGCCCTTTAATATGGTGGCAAGGTTTTGAGCAACGATCATTGAGGGTCAAGGTCACTGGAATTATTGTATACGATATGCATATACTACTAAATAAAACTGCTTGCATTCACCTGACTGCCGATCCTTACCCAGATTGTATCCATGTGATCAAAACTTGATATTTATCGCTAGCAAAATATGAATATTTTTTACTTATCCTGCATTACTCCTTAATTCATATTACTGCTTGTTCTTCACAGAGAAAAGAGCTGTGTGAAGGTCTTTGCTTGAAGAAGTTGTTCCAACTAGCTGAGAGGCCAACCCATCACGCAGCTCCCACGTTACCAAAGGGCGTGACGTCACGGATCCTTACATTACTCTTGTCACTTGCTGAGAGAAGACCTGTTTTTGATCTGTAGCATAAACTTGTTCAAACCCTTACATGTTTTGCTTCTTGAGTTAATGTTCATTGTGCATACGGTTTGTATCTTGTGAAACGTTGTATGTTGTATGCATAACATTTGTGAACCTGCTCTTAAAAAAAGAAAACAATGGTAAACCCAGGTGTCTTGTTGTTTCAAGTAGCCGTCTTGGATATTTTACGTGGCCACAAGTTATTAACTGGCTTGCGTTCTATATTCTCCTTGCTTTGTACCCCAGCATTGGCGTACCCTTGCAAGTATTTTGCGATTGTTTTGTATGTTGTCTTACGTTTGTCGTAATAATTGTTTTAGAAACCCATACAGTGGGATAAACAAATTATAGCATACATAATCGGGCGGGGAGGCATTATGATTTTACACTGCTTCATTGCATATATAATGCCCTCCTGCACAAAGTGCCGGCGCAATATGTCGTCGTGGGATTCTCACCCCCTGGGCCTTAATTGTACATCAAAATGTCTATGACCCAAGAGTCATAGATGTACAGACTGTCTCCGCTTTCCCCCACAGCTTTCAGACAGTACCTCCTAATGTCCAGGAAATGGAGAACGCAACAGGCCAGGAAACCCTGCGCAATATGTCTGACTTATCTGAGTATTGGGGAGCCATGCGTATGTCCGGTGGACTGGATAGGCGCCCCACAGGCACCCTGCCTACGGCCGAGACACCTGTGATGAACGCCCCCCTCCTCCAGTACATCCAGTACTTGCAGGGGGGCACGGGTGGCCCAGTCATCTAAGGCGCCGCGATTCGCTGTGCAGAGTTGCGTCCTTTGGGCTTGCCAGAAACCTAAGATTGTGGGTTTGAATCATTGATTATGTTTCTAGGTTTGTCTGCACCATACCCTTGCTCGTGGGTTTCACCGAAGTGGTAAACATTTGAGACCTGCATCACTTCGGGCTTTCCTCCCACATTAAGCTGACACGCCGTGATATGACTGGAATGCTGTTAAAAGCGGCGTTAAACCCAACCCACACACTCCAGTACTTGCAGGCCATGCAACCGACGCCTGTTGCCCGAGCGCCTATACAGACGCCTCTACAAGCGCTGCCCACAGACGCCTCGACTAGCGCCTATACAGATAGCGCCTATCCATTAAACAGCGCCTTGTTGGACACCTAAACAGATGTCTATAACGGCGTCTATCCTAGCGTCTCTGATTGCGCCACTCCGAAGTGCGCCTCTAAAAACGCACACTCGGGACAACTGCGCAGACAGACGATAAGCCATACCACAATCTCCTTGTGGCTATGTGCTCTCATTCTACAGGCCTATGGGACGTCAGATCCCCAGGGCAAACTTACCTATGGAGACCAAGCGGTCGCTGGACACTTGATTGGCATCCATACAACGGCGCTTCAACACTTCCCAAGATCCTGGAAGCGCCTAACCTCGTGATGGTTCTGTGGAAATCTCCCGCCAATTCTCCTCGTCCAACCATGTTGGTTGAACGTTTCCTCGGAGAAAGCGAACATACTCTCAAAGATCTCCCTACCCACAGCGTCTGGTAGATATTATCTGCACCACAGTTGACGATCACAATCCCATGACCGATTCGGTATTCAACAGAATTGTCATATGCTTCCGGGTACCCAACTGTGTCATCGTTCACAACACCGGACCAGTCATCACTCTTATCATGGGGATCAACTTGCCCCCCATTTGGATTTTCTTCGGCCCCGTGGCTACTCACACGGCTTACCTCCATCTCAGGGACATTCTGTTTGAGGCATAAATAGATGACCGTCTCCTGAATCATTGGGACACCATCACTCTACTTCGCCACAGGGACTTCACCCTGTGGCTCCTGTACCATTTGGGGTGGAAGATCAACCTCAGGAAGTCAGAGTTGACACCCTTAAATAGCCTTCAGTTCATCGGGGGCCTCTTCCAGACGCACCTCGACCTCCTCTCTGTACCCAGGGACCAGTGGGAGCCTATTCAGTAGCACCTGACTCCAGCTCTCCACCTTGGACAATGGCAAGTCCTCCTGGGCCTCCTAACCTCAGTGTAGAACTTGACCTACAGAGGAAGGCTCCAACTGCACCCAGTTCAGATGTTCCTGGCTCCATACATTAGATGCCAGGACCTCTCGGTATCCATCGCTGTTGCCCCCCGGATCACCTCAAACAGCGTCTCAGGTGGTGGGCAGTGGAATCGAATGTCTTAGGTGGCGTCTCCTTGACAGGGCTTATGACCTCTCTACACCTATTTGTAGACGCCTCTCTGCAGGGATGGGGAGCACACCTAGAGGGACAGGTTGCCTCAGGGCTGTGGTCCGCTGATCAGCGCCTATCAACAAGCTTGAAATGTAGGCGCTTATCTTGGCCATCGCTCATTGACAAAAGGCCCTCTCACATGCCCGGCTCTCCACTTCGACAGAGAACATAACCATCGTCTGGTGCCTGCGGAACACTCACTCAACCTCGCTCCTTCAACAGACGTTCCGATTGTTTCACCTGCTGGATCATCTGGGGATTCAGTTCCGGGTTCAACACATTCCGGGCTGCCAAAACATCCTAGCGGATGCTCTATCTCAGCCAGGCATAGTCGCTCTCACAGAGAGGAAGTTTCACCCAGATGACTTCGCTCTTGTTTGTCGAGACCACGGTCTCCCCAACATAGACCTATTCGCCACCAGCCAGAACTACCAGATCCCGACCTACATATCTTTGGTCACGGATCCACTGGCTTGGGCAGTTGACGCTTTCAGCGTCCCAGGGGAAGGACTAAAAGCATACACTGTTCCACCACCTGTACTCCTACCCAAAGTCGTCCAGAAGATCAGATCGACACAAAACCTCGATCTGACTTTGGTCATGCCCTGGTGGCTGGTGAGGGCTTGGTTCGTCGACCTCAGAGAGCTGTCCGACCCCAACCCACTGCCACTTCCAGATTGGCCAAATCTACTGATCCACCCTCACAGCAGACAGCCACACCCAGGACCAGACAGGTTATGTCTTCGCGTCTGGTCGATTTACAGAGAGCGCTGAATGGCCAAAAGCTACTTGGCCAGAGCGGCTAGGGCCATCACAATGGCACATCGCCCAACCACCAGGAGCCTCTATGATGACAAGTGGCAATCCTTTGAGAGCTTTTGCAGGGGCAAGCAACAAGACCCCACATCTGCATTGCCTCAATTCCTGGCCGAGTTCATGCTCCATCTGCTTCACAAGCGTCAGCTCAAGGGCAGTACCATCATGACCTACCTTGTGGCGCTCAACTCCATCCTGGCAGTTCCGGAAGATCAGTGCATGACGTAAATCCCATCTACAGGCTCTGCTCCGCTCATTCAGGCTGGAAGACCAAGAGGCGAAATCTTGTACACCAGCTTGGGTCTTGACTATCATTCACACCTCGCTGAGAGACGCGCCTTTCAAGCCACTCGAAGCGATGTCATTCTACAATCTGAGCGCTCGCCACAGCAGCAGTGTCAATGAGCTACATGCCTTCGACGTCACCCGAGTCCGCTTTGAGCATGGAGCACACGGAGCCGTGCATCTTGGTCTGTGCTGGGACCTCTTCGCTAAGAATCAATTCCTAGACAGCCAGATAGATCATTCCTCATACCTCCCCTACCTCGATTGTGGGCGCGTAAGATGAACTAGAGCTCCGTCTATAACCAGGCTCCAATAACCTGCATGAGAACCGGGCGATCGCCTCCACCATGGCGCTACACAGCAACTGCTCTCTACTCAACATCATGGAGGGATGTTTATGGCAATCCAACACAGTCTTTGCCAGTCAGTACCTGCGAGACGTCGCTTTGGAGGATGTGCAAGGCACGCACAGCTTTGGTCCGTTAGTAGTGGCCCAGCAGGTTACCACTACTACATGTCACTGACAGCGCCTCCAAGTCCAGAGCCATCCTCTCGACCTCCCCTGGCATGAGCCCTGGACTAGAAGGTTCATGCCTCATTTGCATACAGCTCGATGCTCCAGTCTCGACCTAACCGATCGTTGTCAGGCTGCGCAGTACCAGGACACAACGCATACCTGACTCTTCCCTTCCATATAATGGTCATCCAGGCCGACCATACAGCCAATGACGGGCTGAGGGAGACAGAGTTTCCCATACATGGAGTGGTCACCTGATGCCGACCACACAGCTGAGGACAGGCTGAGGGAATGGGAGGTTCCAAGACATGGAGTGGTCACCCAAAGCCGACCATACAGCCAAGTATT